TGCAAGATTGTTGCATAGGTACACACGTGGCAGTGTGATTTGCTGCCTTTCTCCCCATCACCTACATCTGGCATCTCTCCCCTTGCTGTCTCTCCCCAGCTCCACACCCCCACCATCCCTCCCCTATTTCCCCCCAGCTGACCCCAGTGTGTAGTGCTCCCCTCCCTGTGTCCATGTGTTCTCATTGTTCAACACCTGCCTATGAGTGAGAACATGCGGTGTTTGATCTTCTGCTCTTCTGTCAGTTTGATCAGCCAATTTTGCTTCCAAAACACATTCTGTAATTTATCCACTCCATTCCATCCTAGCAACACTGGCCAAATCTGAAATAATCTCTGTCAACTACTTCAATAACCTTCCAACTGTCTCCTGGCTTTAGTTGTGTACCTCTGAAAACCATCCTTCACACAGCCATCAGTGATGTCAAACTGAGCCTTGTAAGGCCACAGATGAACGCCTTCAGTGGCTCCCTCTTTCCCACATGACACTGGAAAGCTGCCGTGATTTGGCTTCTACTTACCCCTTCAGCCTCATCCTCGGTTCTTCTCTGCTTCCCACTTTATGTTCAGCAACACTTAACTACCTGAAACTCCCTGGACACTCCTCCATGCCTTTGTCCATTCTGTTCCTTTGTCCAGCCTGCCCTCCTCTCTCTCCTAATGTTTGTCCAAATAACTTCTGTTTAACTCTCAAGATTCAGCTCCATGTCAGTGCTTCCAGAAAGTCTTTCCTAGTACTTCCTTGGCATGCACTTTCCCTGTGTTTTCTTGGTCCCAGCACACACCCCTGGCATTTCCCACATTAAATTAAATGTTATGTCCCGTCTTTTTCTCTTCCAGTAGATTTGCCATCTCCTGGAAAGCAGGGACTATATCTTATTCAGCTTTTTGTCCCCAGACTCTAGCATGATGCCTGACACACAGTAGGTGTTTAATGCACATTAGTGGAGCTGAACTGGACCAAATTAAACATTAACATAAGAAAAGTCTGAAAGCCTTCTGTCCCTATTCCTACAAAAGCTGGTGGCATTATAAATGGATTCTTCTGGAAAGCAATATAGCAATATATAACAAAAGCTGAAAATGTTCTTTCTCCTTAACGTGGTATTTTCCCGTTTGTGAATACCCTCCACGAAATAATCCAAAGGAAAAAAAAAACAAAAAAACGTACACAGATGTCCTGGCAACTCTAGCTATAACAGTGAAAACCCTGGAAGCAATCCAAGTGTCTAACAGGGAAATGACTAAGCAAACAATGGGATTATTACATAGCTATTAAAAAATGACAGAGGTGAGGATTATGTCAACATAGCCAAGTGTGTATCTATCTGCAGGAACGTTAAGTAGTAAAAAGAACACAGGCTAGTGTTTAAACACTAGTGATTAAGGATGTGTGTGTACACTAACAAAGACTGGAGGGCAATCTGGAGAAATGAAAATGGTTGGATGGCAATGCTTGTTGGGTCTTTATTTTCCTGTACAGTTTCATGAATTTTTGACAATAATACTTACTTTTTGACAATAATAATAATATGCCAGCAATATAGACATTCTAGAAGTCTTCTGAAGAATAAGTACTCTAAGTTTTCCCAGATTGTAGATTCTAAGAGAAAATTTTATGTTAAATTCTTATAAAATTGTTATAAAAATAATGATATTTCTTTAAGTGAACAAAACGTTTTTCTTTAGTTAAATTCAACAAGCAACTATAAGAGCTTGACTATGTTCTAGAGCATTTACATTCTGGTGAAATTCACAAAAATCACGGACAAAAATCCTCAGGGGAATATGTGCTATTATTTTAATTTACTTTTTTTTTTTTTTTTGAAACAAAGTCTGGCTCTATCGCCCAGGCTGGAGTGCAGTGGTTCGATCTTGGCTCACGGCAGCCTCACCTCCCAGGCCCAAACCACCCTCCCACCCCTCCTTAGCCTCCCAAGTAGCTGGGACTACAGGCCCACGCCACCGAGGTAACTGCCTCAGCCTCCCAAAGTGCTGGGATTACAGACATGAGCCATCGTGCCTGGTCGAATTTATTTTTATTTTGGTGAATGTACATATTAGAACGGATAACAAAGGAAAGTCTGCAAGACCTTTGGACTAAACCTCACATTCATGAGTTGTTTCAATTTTATTTTAATTTTATTTATTTATTTATTTTGAGACAGAGTGTGGCTCTGCTGCCCAGGCTGGAGTGCAGTGGGGCAATCTTGGCCCACTGCAGCCTCTGTCTCCGGGGCTCAAGCGATCCTCCCACCTCAGCCTTCCCAGTATCTGGGACTGCAGGTGCAGGCCACCATGCCCAGCTAATTTTTGTGTTTTTTGTAGAGATGAGGTTTTGCCATGTTGCCCAGGCTAGTGTCGGACTCCTGGGCTCTGTCACCCAGGCTGGAGTGCAGTGGTGCCATCTTGGCTCACTGCAGCCTCACCTCCCAGGCTCAAACCATCCTCCCACCCCACCTTAGCTCAAGTGATTCTTCCACCTTGGCCTCCCAAAGTCCTGGGATTGCAGGGTGAGCCACCACGCCTGCCCTCAATTTTATATTTCGATGTCTCCAAAAGAGGTCCTATATTTAGTCACCGAGATATACTGTTAAGGATTAAAAGGAAAAAGTCCTCATCATATAACTTTAAACTTATGCTACTTTTCCACTTAGTGCACTATGAATTAAGATTTTATAAATCCATGATTATATTGTGAGTAGCAAAATATTAATATTATAAGATATATTACATTGCAATTAAGAGAAATAAGCCACAATTTTTTAATTCCATTACAGAATTTCTTCGTTTTTAAAATTAACTGAGAGGCTGGACACGGTGACTCATACCTGTAATCCCAACACTTTGGGAGGCTGAGGCAGGTGGATCATCTGAGGTCAGGAGTTCAAGACCATCCCGGTCAACATGATGAAACCCTGTCTCTACTAAGTACAAAAACTTAGCCAGGCGTGGTGGTGGGCCTGTAATCCTAGCTACTTGGGAGGCTGAGGCAGGAGAATCGCTTGAACCTGGGAGGTGGAGGTTGCAGTGAGCTGAGACTGTGCCATTGCACTCCAGCTTGGGCAACAAGAGCAAAACTCCATCTCAAAAAAAAAAAAAAAAAAAAATTAAAAAACAAAACAAAACTGACAGCCTCAAAAAATGGAAGTGGCCCAGGCCTCTGGGAGGCCGTGAGCATAATTATCACTTTATCTTTAAAATGTGATAGTTTTCAGTAGGGACCTAATGCAAATGGGTTGTTAATAACTGTATAAACACCTAGCTAACATAGTCCCGTCACTAGACTTACTGTTTCTGTTGCCACGTGACCGGCAGTCAGAAAACTACCAGTTCCTAGAGCAGTGGTTCACAAACCCGGCTGCAGGTAGGAATCACCTGCATTTTCCCAGCTTCCATTCCAGACCTCCAGGGCTGGGGCCTGGAGATTCCTATCCTTAAAAAGTTCTCTATCTCTTTTCTACCTACATTGAATTTCCCTATGGAATTCAAACTACTATAGCTAATGCTGCAGTTCAGCTGCATCAAGAGTTTAACACAGTGAGAACTTGTCTCTCCAAAAAGCCAAAAAATGAGGCAGGAGGATCACTTAAGCTCAAGAGGTTGAGGCTGCAGTGAGGCCTGATAGTGCATTGTACTTTCCACCTGAGTGACAGAGCGAGACCCTGTCTAAAAAAAAAAAAAAAAAAAAAAAGAGTTGAACAGATCTGAAGCCCAGTTTGAGGGTCAGCCACTGTTTTTAATGTAGTCTCTCCAGGGTGATGTGTTGGAAGTGCCCAACAAATAATTTATAAAGGAAGTTTGAGAATGTGGTCCACAGATTTTTTTGGGGAAATTGACCACACAGAACTTTTGATCAAGATGCCTTCATTTGTTCCTCAAATTTCTTTCTTCTTCTTTTTTTTTTTTTTTGTGAAGGAAGTGGCTTTTTATTCGGCTGGGAGTCTTGGCAGACTCGCATCTCAAGAACCGAGCTGTTGTTCCTCAAATTTCTTATTGTGTCTTTACTACATGAAGTAAACAAACGCTGGCTGGGCATGGTGGCTCACACCTGTAATCCCAGCATTTTGAATGGCTGAAGCAGGCGGATCACCTGAGGTCAGGTGTTTGAGACTAGCCTGGTCAACATGGCAAAACACTGTCTCTACAAAAATACAAAAATTAGCCAGGTTTGGTGGTGCGTGCCTGTAGTCCCAGCTTCTCAGGAGGCTGAGGCAGGAGAATCGTTTGAACCCAGGAGGTGGAGTTTGCAGTGAACTGAGATCATGCCACTGCACTATAGCCTGGGCAACAGACTGAGACTCTGTCTTAAAAAAAAAAAAGTAAACAAATGCTGAATTGAAATTGTTAAGTTCAAGTGTGTCAGTTCTTATAAACAACGTGAAATGCCAGTTTTTTGTTTTGTTTTGTTTTTTGGAAACAGAGTCTTACTCTGTTGCCCAGGCTGGAGTGCAGTGGCTTGATCTTGGCTCACTGTGATCTCTGCCTCCCAGGTTCAAGCGATCCTCCTGTCTCAGCCTCCCGAGTAGCTGGAACTACAGGCGCACATCACCACACCCAGCTAATTTTTTTTTGTATTTTTAATAGAGACTGGGTTTCACCATGTTAGTCAGACTGGTCTCGAATTCCTGACCTCAGGTGATCCACCAGCCTCGGCCTCCCAAAGTGCTGGGATTACAGGCATGAGCCACAGCGCCCGGCCTAGTTGCGGTTTTTTACTTTTTTATTTGAGATGAGATCTCACTTTATCACCCAGGCCACATTGCGGCGGTACCATTATAGCTCACTGCAGCCTTGACCTCCTGGGTGCAAGTGATTCTCCTGCTTCAGCCTCCTGAATAACTGGGACTACAGGTATGAGTCATTATGCCTCGCCAATTTTAAAATTTTTTGTAAAGATGGGGTCTTACTATGTTGACCAGGCTGGTCTCGAAACCTTGACTTCAAGCGATCCTCCATCTGCCTCCCAAAGTGCTTGGATTACAGGCATGGGCCACCATGACCAGCCAAAGTACAAGGTTTCTATGGGCAGTAAAACTTCAGCCCAAACTGTCAAATAACTCAATGGTTTTTGCCTCCATAAAGAGGCAATACAAAGAAAATGGGTTTTCAACACAGAGAAAAACAAATTCCAAGATGCTGGCTGAGGTTAGTATACATGCTGCCTATTCTCCTTTACCTCCTGGTTCTTCATCCTACCTCTGAACTATGGTGTCGACGCTCTGAAGAAGACCCTGCATCCCAGCAATATTCCTCATCTATAAAATATTGAATTGTGCTCCTTTAAACCCAAAACATACAAGATGATGTCCAGGGAAGTTAGAGGAACATGTATCAGTTGAAGAATCAGGGGTATGGTCCCTCCTGTCTATCTCCCCAGTTTACCCTGGCCCACATCCCATTTGGAATGACCATGTATATGGAGACAGAGGAGGATATTCTTCCACTTTTAACATCAAAAGGAGACAGCGGAGGCATCTAGATCGAGGTAACAGTTATCCTTTGAGGAGCTGTAACAAGAATATTTGGAAGTGGACCAAATCCAGAATAATCAAGCTTGAAAGGACTATAATTGTAAGTAGTAGCAATGCTGTTGTTGTGTTGATAAATACAAAGTACAGTCATAAAGGTGGGGGATTTAATCATGTTCCAGAATGATATGGCTGTTAAGGCTTTCCAGGTAAGCCAGAGAGTTGAGACAATCCTCATTCAAGTGAGAAACGAATTTGCCCCTCCTTATCTGCAGGTGAGTGTTAGAAGGACGATGGATGGATTTGAGGCCTTGTAGTAGGACTGAATTCCCAGGATGAGCTCCAACCACCTCTGAATGCCCCAGAGATATCTATGTTCCATGTGATCTGGTCTGCACCAAGTCCATAGAAGCTACACTCACTTTTCCCTGCTGAATTATCAAAATAATTGCCCTTCAGCCCATGCCTCACTACCCTGTAGACAGAATCCACTCATTTCCCTATCACATGGGCTACAATTGCTACTTCAAATGAAAACCTGGGAAGCCAATACCCTGCTGCGGCTGAAAGTGTGTAATTAGCTTCTCTTGCAGCCTGTCCCCACTGATTTTTCTGACGCACGTTGCCTGGAGTGTGCCCTTTCCGAGACCTTCAATGTCTTCTCCACAGCTGGAGATGCCCAAATCTGCACGCAGCACTTCCTGTGGGTGTGGCCTTGCATTCTTAGGACTAAAGGGTACCCGTTACATGCCAAATGGATCACAGGCTCCAGCCACTCACAGATTCACAATGCTTTTAAAAATACAGCAGTGGAGTATGAGTGGCTATATCAGATATGAGGGTTTTCCACCCCCTCCCTTGTCTTTTAAAATATGATTTTGTAATGCTGGCCTGAAGAAACACTGTAATTGGTCAGCCTGGGGTGCGTTTGAAGGCCTTTACTATCGCGTCATTAGCTATTCTCAGGAGAGGAAAGGCGGGTATCCCCCCGGGAGAATGACAACACACTTGTTTCAAGTTAGGGAAGAGCCTGCGGTTCTCTTCCTGAGTTTGGGGGAAAGCGAACACACAATGTTCATTTCCTAAATACGGGATGTGCTGTGCTGGCAGGTCATTTTCCACCATGTCACATCCTTCTGGATGAAGGCAGCAGGGGTCAGGGCAGGAAATGGCAAATTCTCAGAATGAGACAAGGCTTTCCCAGGGCAGCCATTGGTTCTCTGGAACTATAAAGCACACTCATCCAGAAACGGCCTCAGATTTTACTTTGGTTTTCTGGAACTATAAAGCACATTCATCCAGAAACGGCAGCCAGAAGTGAATGGTAAGTGGGGAACACGGAGGCATATATTTGGGATGACTTTTTCTCATTTTCTCTTTTTACCTGGAAAATTATTCCTGGTGGACTGGATTATGGAAACATGGAAGTAAAATTAAGTCCTATGAGTCAGGAGATGAGGATTCTAGCCTGGGCTCTGTGAAGGATCAGGTGCTTCTAGAACATGTCTGATGCAGGTGATTCTTCCAGACAAGAATAATAGTTTCTGCCCTGATAGCTCACAGCTTTGAAATGCTCTATTTCTATGGGTCATTTGCCACTTTTAAGAAGTTCCTAATAATGAAGAGTACAGTGGACATGAAGATGGGAATCTTGGCAACTAGGCTGAATGTACTTTTCCACAAAGATGTACAACTTGCTAATATCTTCGTCAGTCATCTTCAGTTGGCTTCAACTTAGTACAAGTTGTTGAACAAAAATTTTGGCCACTTTATTCAACCATTACTCATTTTTTTAAAGGAAACTTTCATAATAAAGAGACATAATGGTATTTAATGTAACTTAGTTTAAATTAAGCACCAGCAAAGATTGATGTTTCTGAAGGCCCAAGGAGCCCTAGTTAGAATAAATAGCCCTAGTTAGAATAAAGAGTGCAAACCTCATTTTAGGTTTGATTCTAAGAAAAGAGCCTCGAAGACTCACAAGCAGAAGAGTTGCTTCAGGCAAGCATCTAACTTAGATTAGTGTCTTCTGCTTGGTAGAAAATATGATTTTTGAGGTTTTGGTGAGGTCTTTTTCATTTATTAGAGAAAGAGAGAAAAGTATGTTGCAAAACTCCTAGGATCCAATTTTCAAATAATGAAAGGGCTTTGCAAACTGTACAACCTACCACTTACAAAGTGTCATCTTAAATAGAGCAAAGGCCTCAGTATTGGAGAAGCTTTCTAATACCACGCCCCTCCCAGCTTAAATCTTATTAACACATAGCTGACGAAGCCCATCGTTAGCGTTCCCTGGGAGAGAAGCAGAAGATGGCACCATTCCTGTTTCCATATGCAGAGATAAGGCCCTGAGAACTTGTGGGGCTCCACCCGGATTCCGGAACAGATCTTCCATGAGAACTTGACCCACGATCCACTGCAAACAGACCCGTTCCCCTAGCGTTGCAGGGGATGCTCCGCTGAACTCGTGCCAACTTCCCGCGGGGGCCCGGGAAGCGGGGCGGGAGCGGCGGCTGGCTTGGAGACTCCAGGCTGATCGTTGTCTGTGTTCCCGCAGGGCATGGAGAGGCCGGCAGCCCGGGAGCCGCAAGGGCCCGACGCGCTGCGACGCTTCCAGGGTTTGCTGCTGGACCGGCGCGGCCTGCTGCACGGCCAGGTGCTGCGCCTGCGCGAGGTGGTCCGACGTCTGGAGCGCCTGCGCAGACGCTCCTTGGCAGCTAACGTGGCTGGCAGCTCGCTGAGCGCCGCGGGCGCCCTGGCCGCCATCGTGGGACTCTCGCTCAGCCCCGTCACTCTCGGAGCTTCGCTGGTGGCGTCGGCCGTGGGGCTGGGGGTGGCCACAGCCGGAGGGGCTGTCACCATCACGTCCGACCTCTTGCTGATCTTCTGCAACTCCCGGGAGCTGCGGAGGGTGCAGGAGATCGCGGCCAGCTGCCAGGACCAGATGCGCGAGATCCTGAGCTGCCTTGAGTTCTTCTGCCGCTGGCAGGGCTGCGGGGACCGCCAGTTGCTGCAGTGCGGGAGGAACGCCTCCATCGCCCTATACAATTCTGTCTACTTCATCGTCTTCTTTGGCTCACGTGGCTTCCTTATCCCCAGGCGGGCGGAAGGGAACACCAAGATTAGCCAGGCCGTGCTGAAGGCCAAGATTCAAAAACTGGCCGAGAGCCTGGAGTCCTGCACCGGGGCTCTGGACGAACTCAGCGAGCAGCTGGAGTCCCGCGTCCAGCTCTCCACCAAGTTCAGCCGTGGCCACGACCTCAAGATCTCTGCTGACCAACGTGCAGAGCTGTTGTTCTGAGAACATCCTTTCCTCCTAATGACCGAGGCCAGCAAATCATCCCCATGGGATGCTCCAGATTTTGTAGCTCCCTTAGGAAAACACCAACTTGGGTTAGGAGCCGAAGGCAAAAGATGAGAAAAACTGTTTTTGAAGTGGGTGGGTCCCCACAGTCCTTCTTTTCCCATCACCGTGACAGCTGCCTGGGCCTGAGTGCTACGGACTTTTCAGTTGTGTGATTCTAGTGGAAGAATGTGACCCCAAAACTGTTTTTCTTTTTATCAAATCCTTTCTGTCTAAACACAGCTGGACAGACACTTCTGTTTTAAAGTTATTTCAGGGTTCCTGACCCTGCCCTGGTGGCTAGAGCTGAGACTGGAGAGGGTGCCACCCACTGGGTCCTCGCCAAGTCCTACTGGTCTTTGAAGTCCTCAAAATGCCCGTGAGAGGAGGCACTTGCTTTTTAAAGACAGGCACTTGCCTCTCTAGCTAGAGTTTCTGATACAAAGAACTCCAGAATTCAGAGCAAATCAGCCCTTCTCTGAACGTTGTAGGACGGTTCAAGACCCAGAGAGGACCCTGTTCCTCTTTGCTTTCCTCTCAGCTCACCCACTCCCAGATGCAGCCTGAATATGGAGTGGGCCTTTCTTGAGTGGCTCCCAGTCCAGTCCTCCAAGTACTCAGAGGGGAAGCTGCCAAACCATCATCTAAGTCCTGCTCCCTCACGTGACGCAGCTGAGGCCCAGATAGATGGAGCGACTGATAACTTCATTTCCCAGAACCATTGTGTTCAGAAGAGAGTGATGGGTTTTGAGTTAGACCGTCCTGGGTTTGAGACAGGGTTTGTCACTACTGTGTGAGCATAGCCACCTGATCTCTCTGAAACTGTGTAAAACAGAGATGATAAAACCTCACCCTGCTGTGAGACATTAAATGAGCCAAAGTGCCCAGCATAGTGCTAGTTCACATAGTGTAGTCCCTGGAATGGCAAATTAACATCACCCAGGAACTTGTTAGAAAGCAAATTCTTGGACACAACCCCCCAATTTATGGAATCAGAAACTCTGGATGTGGGGCCCAGCAACCTGAGTTTGAACAATTTCTCTAGGTGGTTCTGTGGCACACTAAGGTTTGAAAAGCAGTGCAACAAATGCTAACTTCTAATCCCCTCAATGAGCTTTCACGAAGTCTGACAAAAGACAGACTGTGTCCCAGGAGCCAGAGAGAGAGGATTGTGTGTGTGTGCACGCGCATGTGCATCCTGGGGCAGTGTCTCACCATATGAACTAAGGGATGTAACACTATAAACCCAGTAGAGGGCAGTGTTTCCCACTTATTGTAGAAACTGGTACAGAAAGGAATGTGAAGTTCCTGAAACTGAGCTTTCTCTATTACTACCTTCTCCGAAAAGCGCCAGTCCATGTATTTTTTAATTTATTTTAAGTTTATAATTTAAGTATTGTTTATTATTTGCATTTAATTTTATTAAATCACCACATTTAGAAAATAATAAGAGCAAGTTTCTAAATGGGAGACTGCTGAGGCTCTTTGCAAGAGATGAGATTAAGTTTGAGTTTCTAAGGCAAGGCATGAGCTGGAAACAGCATTGCTTTCCTTGAATGTCTCTCTCCTTCAGGGGGATTTTTTTCCTCTAGTGTTTTAAATGATCCATTTAAGTAAGCGTGGAGAGTGTTGAATAGCAACGCCAGAAGCTGCGTTTAAGCTTGTAATGGAGGCTTGCATTGTGGGATATATAACTGAGGAAGCATATTTATCCTGAACGTGTTTTGCCAGAAGATAACACTTGACCTGGAAAAAGAACCTATTTAGTTCAGGAAAAATAAAAATTTAGAGATATGTGAAGGAAGCACTTAGACCTTGCAAGCCTGATGTCCTATGAGTTATGTCTTATGGGTGACAGACAGAATAGCATGACTTATGGTGGTGATGTGTTACATTTTCACTTTGGGATCTGTAAGAAACTGTCAGTGAAAATATGTACAATTCCTTCAATTTCCATTCTTAACAGCTGTAATGTTGAAAAGTTTTTGGGACCATACCTTCGAAAACTGTGCCTCTGTTATTTAATTATTTAATATGCTATAAATGTACCTAATCAACCCCCATCCTTCCCAATGATGGCAGTATGTCTGAGGAAGTATAATTTCAGTACTGGGGTTGGGGAGAGGAGGTGATATTTCTATATTTTTATTTTTTTTCTATAAATTGCAATTGTCTGTATCCTGGTTTATTTTGAAATGTATATTGGTTTATTTTCAAGCTGATGTCATCTCCTAGACTGCCTCACCCAGATGCTAGCATTTTACTTTTGAGACAGAGTCTCATTCTGTCACCCAGGCTGGAGTGCAGTGGTTTGATCTCGGCTCACTGCAACCTCCGACTCCTGGGTTCAAGCCATTCTCCTGCTTCAGCCGCCTGAGTAGCTGGGTTTACAGATGTGCACCAGCACACCCAGCTAATTTTTTGTATTTTTAGTAGAGATGGGTTTTCGCCATATTGGCCAAGCTGGTCTTGAACTCCTGGCCTTATGTGATCTGCCCACCTTGGCCTCCCAAAGTGCTGTGATTACAGGTGTGAGCCACCTTGCCTGGCCAGATGCTAGCATTTTAGATCACCGGGATGTACGTCACATTGTTAGTTGTGTTGTGGGATAAAGGTACAACCATTCCCTAACTCTATCATTTATTAATGCTTAAGTTTAAATTATATTCTTCCAATGCCTAAGCTATTCCCTAGAAATAAACTGGGCGCTTTTGGAAGCAGCAGCAACAGCAGCAGCAAACTTTTCTTGTCATTAGGATATTTTGGATGTATCAAAAGTTCTATACTTTTGAAGTTATGATTTCAGTGGCCCACTTTATATCTAAGGAAGAGTGTCTACTTTGGAACAATACTTTGCACATAGTAGGAACTTAAGGAATGCATTTGAATAATTTAATTGACTGTTTAGCTATCTTAATGAGAATGTGTTGATAACAAAACATCATCCGTCCCTTTAAGTGTGAGTAAGATTGGAGCCTCTACCAAGATTTAGTCAATTTCAGTTAGATTGATTCTAGAAACAAATATTTATTTATTTCTTTTATGGGGATGTGAGTAAGGCTTTTCCTTAACCTTTTCTATAAATGAAAAGGTTGAAATGTATGTTGTAAAAGGGAAGAAGGAAGGGGGATATTTAGATATTAAGTGTACTTCACAAAAATGCCAGAATTTGAGAAATAAATATCTTTGTACTAAATGTTTAAGTGCTTCTCAGGTTTGCAATCATTTGGGTGGTTTTGTTTCACAATAAAGGAGATTCACTGGTTTCTGCATTTTAAGGATTCAGTAAAACTACATTCTGCTCTGTTAAAAAAATAATCCTTAGCAAACATTCGGATCCTAATTGCTTTGATGCACTTCCCTTGGGCACCTGTCATTTCCAATATGGCAAGTGTCAAAATCAAAAGTATTTACTGGGAGAAAAAAGAGAGGAGTGGTTGTGGAAGTCTCCCTAAATCAGATATGCCAAGCCACTGACCAACGTGGTATATTTCTCAATCAATACTTTAGAGTGAATTGAGATCCTGAGATACAGACATTGTGCAGAGATAAATGGGAATACAGTCAAACGTAGCAACTCTTGAGTTTATTTTTCCCCACTGTAGCAAAATTAATGCTTTCCCTTTATTGAAATAAATTGCTCATTCCTCAAACTTTTTGATCTTTCTATGATTAATTTCCTAGTTCTATGTTTCCTTGGGTATGAAGTAGTAACTTTGAAAAAGGGCAGATGTTTAATCATTTTCACTTAGAATATTCAGATCAAACTATATGAATCAATTTTTTAAAAGTATTCAATGCATACACAGGAATTCCCTTGTTGCCTTGAAATCAGACTTCCAGCAGTCTCAAAACCTTTGAACATAATTATAACTTGGGAAGGAATTGAAAGGAAACCTAGAATCAGCCATATTAGCCTTCACAAAATCCAAACACTGAAGAGAGGTGGACAGGGAGGGTGAAGGGCAGCATGTATATCAGGAAAGCAAAACTTTCCTGTAAATCTCTGGGGGACTTAACCTTACAAGTCACCGATCTTGACCATGCAAGGCAGGCTGGGAAATGTATTTTTAGCTAAGAACAACGTAGCCCCTAGTAGTATTAAGATTCTGCTGGTAAGAAAGGAAAGGAGGGTGACCATTGAGTAGGGGGTCCAGCAATCCAAACAAAAAGCCTATTGTGGATGCTGCAGCCAGTTGAGAGCGACTGCTGTGGAGATGACCTCACTATCTGAGTGCCAGCTGCACCTTGGAAACATTCCTGGGTCTGGAGGCTGCACTGTTAATGACTGTACAACCAAAAAAGGCTGTGTTGGCAGGCCCCTGACTGTTTGCAGAGGCCAGCCGCAAGCTGGGATCCTATCTTTGCTGAAACATATGGTATTCCTGTAGTAACAAGTGTCCTTTTAGTTAATTGCAATAAATCTCTTGTTGAGTTGACAGGAGGTTGGGATGTTACTTTTTGCTCCTGGCAAACTCATAAGAGGAAAAGTAAACCCTGCTGTGGTCTGGAATAGGACAAAGAGTGAGCCCTTAGATCTGAAAACAATCTCTTAGCAACCAGAGAGTTGTTAGGAGAGGGGAAATCGTGCTGATGAAGCAAGATCCATCCAGGGGCCAGGAATGCACATTAGGGGTCCTCGGCACCCCCACACCTGACTAGCATTAGCACTGGGTTATGGAGAGAAGGCCCTGTGATACGGTCTTTGCCTGAACACATAGAGACTGTCTGTACGAAGCTATATCTGCAGAAAATAATGCTTAATCTAATTTTCTATTTACACTATAACCCCAGAGGTGGGAGGACAGGCAGGCCTGTGACCTGATTTGCCCTGAGCTTTAGCCATGGGTCATAGCCAAGGCCTCTTACACACAGGAGCAGCCAGATCCTGGCTTCCTCCAGCATTTGTGTGAATGCGGTCGCCAAATTCACCAAAATAATTGTTAACTGGGAGAAGCTTTTTGTGTAGATGCAGTTTGGGGTAGGGGTGATGTCTAAAAATCTTTCTTTTAGGTGAAACTTCTTTTTCTAGGGCTCCCTGGTTGATAAGCAGATATTTGTTTCTGCCCTTACTTTGTATTAAAACTGCATTATCAAACTATTATTTAAAAACAGTATTTTTTCTCACTGCTTAAATAAAATGACACTTCAATAATATTGAACATACAGATAGGATATTTAACAATAATAATAGCTAAGACTTATTGGGAACTCACTAGATACTGTTCTGATTACAATTTGACCTGTGTCATTTCATTGACCTTGCAAAAATCTTATGGTTTGCACACTACAATTACCCTATATTATTAAACAAAGTAAGGAATTTGAGAGGCTGCATTGCCAGCATGAGGTGCCTCAGAATTTGAACTCTGGCAGCCTGATTCCAAAGTTATAGTTATGCTCTTTTCTTTCTTTCTTTCTTTCTTTCTTTTTTTGAGATGGAGTGTCACTCTTGTTGCCCAGGCTGGAGTGCAGTGGCGCGATCTCGGCTCACTGCAACCTCTGCCTCCCGGGTTCAAGCAATTATCCTACCTCAGACTCCCGAGTAACTGGGATTACAGGTGCCTGCCACCATGCCTGGCTAACATTTGTATTTTTAGTGGAGACGGCGTTTCGCCGTATTGGCCAGGATGGTCTCGAACTCCTGGCTTCAGGTGATCTGCCCACCCTAGCCTCCCAAAGTGCTGGGATTATAGGTGTGAGCCAACGTGTCTGGCCAATCCCAGCACCTTGGGAGGCCGAGGCAGGTGGGTTGCTTGAGTCCAGGAGTTAGAGACCACCCTGAGCAACATGGTGAGACATCATCTGTACAAAAAAATTTTAAACGAACTGAGTGTGGTGTTGCATACCTGTAGTCCCATCTACTTGGGAGGCTGAGGTGGGAGGATCGCTTAAGCCCAGAAGGTCGATGTTGTAGTGAAATGTGATTGCGCCACTGCACTCCAACCAGCCTGGACAACAGAGCCAGAACCTGTCTAAAAAAAAGAAAATCTCCTGGCAGTAACAGTCTAGCCAATTAGAAAGAGTAATCTTATGTCAGTAGGTTAGTCAATCAGAAATTAACATATAGTTTTGCAAGTTAGTATTTATAATAAACAATGATGTAGGTGTGATTTGAAAGTCATAGAACTTTGCTCTAATCATACCTATGTACAGGCTGGCATGGTAGCTCACGCCTGTAATCCTAGCATTTTGGGAGGCTGAAGTGGGTGGATCAACTGAGGTTAGGAGTTCGAGACCAGTCTGGCAAACATGGTGAAACCTTGTCTCTAATAAAAATACAGAAATTAGCTGGGTATGGTGGCCACACGCCTGTAATCCCAGCTCCTCGGGAGACTGAGGTAGGAGAATCACTTGAACTCAGGAGACAGAGGTTGCAGTGAGCTGAGATTGCGCCACTGCACTCGAGCCTGGCTGACAGAGTGAAACTCTGTCTCAAACAAAACAAAACGGAATCCTATGTACAGAATAATACTTTGCGACGGTCCCCCAAATCTCCCAAATATGGTAAGATTCTTGTAAACAAAACATCTGAAGTAGAAGGACATGATTTATAAGGACCTTTTGCTAACTGCAGGTGCACTGGAACTGAAGATATCAGTAGAGACCACACAGACATGAAGGAAGAAATTACTGGTTGAACAGGCCTGTCCAGATCCAATTTTAAAACCTCAAAAAATGAAACTTCTTGGGGTCATTCCATCGAAACTACCACTGACGCTGCTTGTCAAATTTCTTCCTGTTGGGGGTGTGTACTCAATTGCAGTCTAGTAGTTATGGGCTAAAAGTGCTGGAGGCATGTGGGTGAGTAGATAGGTATGAATAGGAATAACATGTTGGGTATCATAAATGTCTTCAAAATCATAATGCTTTGTCTGTGGTTGATTTGATTTTAACGTTGTCCTCTGAGGTTTTGCATAGTAAACACTATTAGTTGTTTAATTTTCATTCTTTCTAACCTCTCTGTAACTTTTGACTTTGCCGAATACCCGATTCTTAAAGCACCCTTTCTCTTGAATTCTGTGACACCAGCCTTTCCTATTTAGTTTCCTTGACAGCTTCTTTTCTCCTCCAGTCTTAAAGTTCAAGTTTCCCAGAGCCTCAGACCCAGGCTGCCATTCCCCTGACCTCATCACACAGTCCTTCACCGAGCATGTACATTTCCAGGGTCTCAGCAGTCGTGGGTTGGGTGTTGGTATGGATGAAACCAGCTTTAAAGGGTTCTTTGGGGTCAAGTTGAATTTGGTGGCTATCATATAAAACGAAAGCAAATGAAATCACTGACTGAATGAAAAAGGTTGCAGGAAGAGTGTACAAAAGCAGAAGCCCCAGCTGCATTCCTAGTGTCCCATTCCTCTCACTGACGTGCTGTACTTGACTCCAGCCAGATGCAGACATTCTAATCTGAATGTCTAAGAGCAATCTGTGTGTCTCTCATGTAAATTTATCACTTGATACCTTTTATTAAATATGTATGTGCCTACCCCAAGGCTCCTAAGGACAGAAACCATATCACAGACATTGTTAAATCTCCCACGGTGTCTCTCCGGCTCCTGCCACAGGAGATGCCCAATAGCATTTGTTGACTGAACAAGCAATGTTTATCCTCATGGACATGCTGGCACTGCTTCTTAGAACCTCTGAAGCTAAATTTCTCTGTAAAACTGGCCCAGTTTCACAACTCTTCTATCAAAGGCAACATCAGTCTCCCAGTTGTCTACCTGGAAATATCGTCCTCATCTATAAATTGTCCTTTTTCTTACTTCCCTGATATACTTTTCTTTTTTCTTTTCCTTTTTTGAGACAGGCTCTCCCTCTAACATGTGGGCTGGAGTGCACTGGTGCGACCACTGCTCACAGTACTCTCAACCTCCCGCCATGATCCTCCCACCTCAGCCTCCTGAGTAGCTGGGATCACAAGTGCTCACCACCATGCCCGGCTAATTTTTGTATTTTTAGTAGAGATGGGGTTTCGCCATGTTGCCCAGGCTGGTCTCCATCTCCTGGGCTCGAGTGATCCTCCTGTGTTGGCCTCCGAAGTGCTGGGATTATAGGCATGAACTACCATGCCTGGCCACTCTAATATACTTTTGCCAAAGTATTTCCTTCCCATGAAATGTCTCTCCCCTCCGTTTTGATCCATTCCACTGCTCCCACACCCATCTAGGCTTTTATCTCCTAACACCTACAATGACCTTCAAGCTGTTTCCTGATTCCAACTTCTTTCTGCTCAAATTCACCCTATACTTCAATCCTTGAGTCATTTACGTAACTCCCAGATTTCTTTATAGTCCAATCAAATAGAACATAATCTTATCTAAACTTTGACTCTGAATTTGAGTACACACCCCAGAGAAGTGCTGAATTCCTGTGGTTTGTTATGATGGATGATACTAAGAAGGGCTAAAAGGAACTCAATTCTGTGGTTATTTATTTATTGATTTTTTTGAGGTGGAGTCTCGTTCTATTGCCCAGGCTGGAGTGCAGTGGCATGATCTCAGCTCACTGCAACTTCTGCTCCCTGGTTCAAGCAATTCTCTTGCCTCAGCCTCCTGAGTAGCTGGGATTACAGGCACGCACCATCATGCCCAGCTAATTTTTGTATTTTTAGTAGAGGTGGGGTTTCACCATGTTGGCCAGGATGGGCTCAAAC